CATTCCAGCTTGGAGGCAGCTGGTTGAGCTGGATTCATTTAAGGGCATCCAGTCCCAGCTCCTGGGACATCTGTTTAAACGGTTTCCACTGCCCTTGGGACGATCCTTGGCACGACGTCAATGGAAAGCAAACAACCCAGGAGGGAAGGTTCTGAGAGCGACATCATTTGATTGCTCAGGACCTCACTGGCAGCTTCTTCTCTCTACTGGGTGAAGACTGGCAGGGCAATAGAATTGCAGAATTGGAAGGGACCACAGAGACCACGGGTCCAACCCGTACCCAAACAAGAATCCGGTTCTGTTGTTGTTTTTTGTCCTTCGTTCTCAAAGAGGACCATGACATCAGGAAGGTGGTCCCGAGATGTGCAAGTGAATTGGATTTAAGTGATAGAGGACTGTGCAAAATCACCAGCCTTCACTTTCTCCTCTGGATCCAGCTGAGTCCAGTGGCAAGATATAAATCAGGATGACTGGATACGTCCCCAGATGAAGAGGGAGACCTTGGCCTCTTTAAGCCAAGGTCTTTCCCAGGCCTCAGTTTGGCTGAGGCAACTCCCATTCAGTGATTAAAGCTAGGTAAGAAATGAGGTAAAGAATGGCCTCTTTTACCTACTCTTAAAGGAAAAAGTCAGTCACAGGGCAGCTAGGTGGATAGGGGCAGTGGATACAGCACCGGCCTTGAAGTCAGGAGGACCTAAGTTCAAATCTGGCCTCAGATGCTTGACACTTACTAGCTGTGTGACCTTGGGAAGTCACTTAACCCCAATTGCCTTTAAAAAAAAAAAAGAAAAGAAAAAAAATCAGTCTGTGAGGGAAAAACCCTCAGGAGGGTTTCTAGCCAAAATAGAGACAGTGGCTATTTAAATTCACTCTGAGCCATCAGGGCCCAAACAGTGACTAAGCGAGGGTGTGTTTGCGTGTGTGTGCACATGTACATGTAAATGTGATTGTCTACATTCTTGAAGAGGACCAAAATGACATCACTATGTTAGAGTCATGTTACAGTGTGTCTGACTATGGCTTATCAGACCAATATGAGCTTGGAATGCTCTACCAGAGGTGGGGTACAAATAGTCCATGTGAACGTTTGGGGTGGATTTCCTACATTTGTGCATCTCGGGTTTCTTTTGAGTTACTTCAATTCTGCTTTGCTCATAGAGCACAGCACCTTCTCTAATGAGGGCACGCCATGCTGGGCAATCCTGTGCCAATGTCTCCCATGTCACATAATCAATTCCAAAGGTCTTCAATGAGACCTTGAGACTGTCCTTATATCACTTTCTCTGACCACCACGTGAACAGTTGTTGTGTGTGAATTCTCCAAAAGGGCAGGGCAGGGCAGGGCAGGGCAGGGGAGGGGAGGGGAGGGAAGGGAAGAGAGGGGAGAGGGAGGGAAGGGAGGGGAGGGGGAAGGAAGGGGAGGGGAGGGGAGGGAAGGGAGACACAAAAAAGAGGCACAGAGACAGAGTCAGAGACAGAGAGACACAGCACCAACAGGTAAGGGCAGAAGGACAATACTAGGTACAAGGTGGAACTTGAGTTGTACTTTCAAAAAGTTAAAGTCTCTGTCGAGAATGGAAGGCCTTCCCAACATGGAGAAACACCTGTCATAATCTCCCAGGCAGGAGAAAGAGTCCTATAACAGGAAATTCTATCAGGCAGCTGGGCTGGAACAAAACCTAGGACAGCTGGATCCTGGAGGGCTTTCAGTGATCAGGCTGAATTAATCTCAGCTCTCTATGCTACTGCAGACAACCAGAAGCAGCACTGTTCCTTCCAACTCTCCCTGGTACGCTAATAAAAAGGGAGCTATTGGAGCAGCATATAAAGTGCTGGGCTTGGAGTCAGGAAGACCTGAAGTAATATCTGGTCCTCAGCCAGTAGCTGTGTGACCCTGGGAAAGGCATGTAACCTCTGTCTGCCCTAATTTCCTCAACTGTAAAATGGAGTGAATAATAATACCGTATAAAAATAAAATACTAAGAATAATAATAATAATACCTTGTAGCTCCCAACATTGGTGTGAGGCTCAAATGAGATCATGTTTGTAAAGTGCCCTGCAAACCTCAAAGCGCTATGTAAATGCAAGCTATCATCGTTATTTATTGAATCCTCTCATACTGAATGCATGATTCCCCTCCCAGGACTGTTCTTCACCTATCATCAGTCACTCTCTAACTACAGACAAACAGCTCAGTCTGTACTCAGCTCTCTAACCATTCTGAAGTCCAACCACAGTACTACAGCTACTTCCTGACTCCCTACTAACCTTCAGCCTCCTACTACAGCTTTGACCTTTTGTTCAAAATGTATGGACTTTTAAGTCATTTTCTTTGTATAATTAAGCAACTCGGTAGTGCAGTGGATAGAACACTAGACCTAGAGTCAGGAAGTACTGAATTCAAATCAAGCCTCCAGACATTTATTAGCTGTGTGACCATGCACAAGCGGCTTAACTTCTATTTGCCTCAGTTTACTCATTGTCAAGTGGGCATAATAATAGCACCTACCTTGCAGGGTTCTTGTGAGGATCAAACGAGATAATATTTGTAAAGCACTTTGTGAACCTTAAATCATTAAACAGATGCTAGCTCTTATTAGCTAATATTACTGATGGGGTGTTTGTGCTTGTATTTGGACCCCAATTTCACCCTAGTCTCATAAACACTGTCTTTGACAATTTCTCCCCAGCCCAAGAACACTGTGCCTAGCAATTACTCAAGAGTGGGCCCCAGCAAGACCCTTATCCCTCTCCCCAGTGCAGTAACAAACAGCACCTGAAGGAATTATTAGTCTGAACTGGCTTTGCACTGGGTCATAAAGATATTCTTACCCACTAGACTATCTTTACTACCACTCTGCCTCATTATCTGCATTCTGGACTCCTCATTATCTGCATTCTAGACCTAAGACATATGGACACTCCCTACATCTATCTTGTCAAACAAGAAATTGGCTGGTGGCAGACTGGACAACTCTCAGTTACTCCTGATTGCTAGTTAACTTAGTGACATAGCAGGCCTAAAACCATACCTCGGTATGGTTCCCCCACCCCTTGTGGGCTTTTCCCAGTGAACTCTGGGTAAAACCCCTGGGCAGTAGATGCAAAAAGTGCATGTTCCTTTAAGAACTAACCACTCCTTAACCACTCCCTAATCCCGCCCTGAATCACTTAGCATATTTGGCATATGTTTTATTATATTTTGTCCTATATAAACTTTAACTGTACCCCTCTAAGACTGCAGGGTTCCTTAAGAATCTTTGCCTGCTGTAAAGCGTAACAATAAACTTTCTGCCAAGTTGACTTAAAAGATTGCTTGAGTTTGTGAATTCATTCCAGACAACCTTGTCCTGTACTTCCCTCTTTGAGGGGTCTCAAGCTCTCAGACCTCAACATTTCTTTGGCGCTCAACGGCTTGTCTGAAAGCTCAAGCCTTCTCCGAGCCAAGGTAAGCCTCCCCCTCCCCTCGCCCTGTAGTTGGGTCACCCCTCAGGCACCTAGGAAGGTTTGCAGGGCCTTTGGGTCCAGCCTGTAGCAGGCTCTAGCGGAATTCCCTCTTGACAGGGGACACCTTATTTGGGAACTTCTGTGTCGTTTTTTTTATCCCTCTCCAGGAAGCTGGTAGAGGCAAGTAGACTACCCTTTTCTATAGGCTTAGAGGCAAAGAGGATGGGCCAATCTCCCTCTGTACCTTGAGATTCGCCCCTAGGATGTCTTTTAAACAACTGGAAAAAGCTTGGTCTTCACCCGTGATGGAAAATGCTATCCACATCCAAACAAAGAACTATGGAGTTTGAATGCTGATCGAAGCATACTATTTGCTATTTTTTTTTCTTCTGTTGCGTTTTGTTTCCTCTTTCTCGTGGTTCCTCCTATTGGTTCTAATTCTTACTTACAACATCACTAATGTGAAAATATGTTTAATAGGAATGCATATGTAGAGCCTATATCAGACCGTGCGCCATCTTGGGGAGGGAGGTAGGAAGAGAGGGGAAGAAAAATGTTAAACTCAAAAGCTTATGGAAGTGATTGTTGATAAAGTAAAATAAATTAATGAAAGAAAGAAAAAGAGAGAGAAAGAAAAAGAAAGAAAGAAAGAAAGAAAGAAAGAAAGAAAAGAAAGAAAGAAAGAAAGAAAGAAAGAAAGAAAGAAAGAAAGAAAGAAAGAAAGAAAGAAAGAAAGAAAAGGCTTGGTCTTCAAGACCTTAAGGAAAAAAAAAGCCTTGTGTTCTTTTGCAACACTGCTTGGCCTCAGTACAATCTGGCCCGTCGGTGGCACTTTAAACTATAACTCCATTCTGCAGCTAGATCTGTTTAGCTGCCGGTAAGGGAAATTCACAGAAATCCCGCACGTCCGGACTTTTGTGATTCTTTCCCAGAATTGAGACTTGCGGGAACAATGTAGGATGCTTCTAGTTAAATTTACTCCAGAAAAGGGGAATAAAGACCAACCTGATGTCCTTCATGATCCCCTTCTTTCAGGCCCCGAGCTCTGGCTCCAGAGCATCATCGACACAACCCCTAGTTCTCCTGCTAATCCTTCCGCCCCTTCCCCTCCTCGCTCGGCAGAAGATGGTCCTCACCAGGAAGCCAGCAAACTGCTGCAGGAAGATCCGCCCCCTTACTCACCGGCTCTGCCGGCCCATTGGTCGCCTAAACTTCCACTTTCGGGGCGTTCGCCGCCAGCAGCACCTCCGGACTCCATTTCCCAATAGCCCTCGCGCCTACCGGATCCGCCTGCTCATTGGTCTCCTCTACTCAGCAGCCGGACTCGGTTTCCCAGCATCCCTCACTCCTCAGCCCTTCTCTTACTAGGGGCGGAACTTCCTATCTCCCTCCGCCCCAAGACCCTGATTCGTTGGTTCCCTCCCAACTATTTGCTTTATGGGAAGTAGCTGATTCAATGGGGGAATGATTAGGGTGCAGGACCCTTTTACTATGACTGATCTTTTCCAGGTTAAGGAAAAACTTGGCTGTTACTCTGAAAATCCTGCTAAGTTTATAGAGGGTTTCAGAGCCATCTCTCTCCAATTTGGATTATCTTGGGGAGATATTCATATTATTCTCTCCACCTGCTGTACAACTGAGGAGAAGAAGAGGATGTGGTATCTAGCCCAGAAGTTTGGGGGGGATGTTATATCCTCACCTGCCAGATACTGTGTGGGGGCTACATCCGTCCCAATTGCAGATCCTGTGTGGAATTATCAAAGGGATGCAGACAGGGACAACCTGGTTGAGGGGATGAAAAAGGGCTTTAAAAAGCAAGTAAATTAAGACAAAATCAGGGAAGTAACCCAGGGAGCTGATGAGAACCCAGCTCTTTTCCTGGGCCGGTTAGTAGAATCCTTAACACGATTCACTAACCTGGACTCTAATTCTCTGAGGGAGCAGCTATCTTTGTTATGTATTTTATTAGTCAGTCTGCCCCACACATTCAGGGGAAACTTAGGAAACTGGCAATGGGACCCCGAACACCTCAGACCCAACTATTGGAGCCTTTAACAACAGAGACCCAATTTTGGCAGAGGAAAAAGACCGTAAAGCTAGGGCTAGAAGTAAAAAGCAAGCTCAGCTCCAGGCTCAGCTTATGGCTGCTGCCATAGCCGGCAACTCCAGTAGTGCTCCTGGCATCTTGAGTAATGGGGAAACCCATTTCCGATGCCGTAAGATGGGTTGTTGGTCCTGTGCCCTTCTAGGACTTCTCCTCTGAGGAAGCCTCCGGGACCGTGCCCACTCTCGAGGGCAGCCTTCTCCCAGTGTCCTGCCCTCCAGTCCTCTCTGGACTTGGAATGACTGGACCCAGGGCCTGGCTTTGCTCTCACCTTCTCCATCTCAATGGCCGACCTCTGGGTGTCCTTTGATGTGGCAGGTAAGCCTATCAATTTTCTCATTGATACAGGAGCCACTTATTCTGTGTTGTTACAGCATTCTGGCCCCACCCGTCCCTCTAGCCACAGGGTGATGGGCATTGAAGGCAAAGCAAGGGGTTGTCGTGAGACATTTCCCTTGCCCTGCCAGTTTGGGGATCTGTTGTTTGACCACTCCTTCCTTATCCTCTCCTCCTGTCCTGCCCCTTTATTGGGAAGGGATCTGATGGTGACATTGGGGTCCAAGTACAAGCACAAGCACCCAAACACAAGCACCCAAGCACCCCATCATTCCTATTAATTCCAAACCATTTCCCAGAATTGTTGGCCTAATTCGTAGCTCCATCAACCATGCATTAATGTGTCTGTCTTTACATAACTACGTCAGCAGTGACTATTCTCATGTTTTGTCATCTCTGTGAGTTTTCTGGCTGTGAAGTGAAACCTGAGGGTCTGTTTGGTTTGCGTTTCTCTTAGTGATTTGGAGCATTCTTTCATTTAGGTATCCCATAAAACACAGGGGCGGTAGGGTGTCCTTATCCAAAGTAACACTGGCAAGTTTTCCATTGTGTTTCAGATAGGTCTCCCCCTTACAGCTCTAGGTGATATCCACAAAGGGTTGTGGTTGATTCTCTTAAGGTTATTGACTCTAGTTCCTGTTCTGCTGTGTTCTCTCCAGCATCATTTGACCCAGTTCCAGTTAATATCTCCTCCTCCTAACCAAGGATTGTCTCTGCAGTATCATTTTCATCAATTAACATCAATCACCTTTTATGCACGGGCAAAGCAAGAGATAAGCCACTGGATTCCCCCTCCTTCTGTGGGCCCAAAGCTCCAGAAGCAGCCACCACTCTGGGGCTGTGCTGGGACTGGGGCCAGACCAAGCTCCTCTGTCACTGTGGGACAGACCTTTCCTACTGACCTTGTAGATTGTCTTTGGTGTTTCTGGGTTGAGAATTCTGGAAACCACTACAGCTCCCCTTGATTCAATCCCTTGAGGACTGCTCCAGGTTCGCTGAGGCCTGGTCTTTGCCTGCATGGCCCAGCCCAGCATCCAAGTTGTCTTTGGCTGGAAATTTGTTTCACTCTGTCTTTTGTGTGTTCTGCTGCTCTAGAATTTGTTTAGCGCCATTTTTTACAGGTATTTGGAGGGGTTTGGGGGAGAGCTCAAGCAAGTCACTGCTTTTACTCCGCCATCTTGGCTCCACTCCCACAGACCCACTTTTACCTGGACAAGAACCATCCTCTACAGCAGGCCTGCACAACATACAGATTTCAGATGGCCTGTGAAAAATGTAGAGGATATGAAGACAGTAAAGATGTAGCCAGTGATTTGTCCACGCTCCACTTAACCTGCCTTCCACTAGTCACTGTTTTGCCTCTCATGTTACTTGGGGGGTAAGTTGCCACTGTGCACTCACTCCTGTTTGCCAAGTGACCCGTGGCAACCCACTATCATTGTACCTTTATTCGGAAGGGGAGCTGCTAAAAACCTATCTACAGCCCGAAGAACTTCAGCCTATTTTAATTTTGGCCCCTACCTACTGCCAGGTTGTGCAGGTCTGCCCTACAATGTCCCTGAGATGTGGTCATGCAGGGCCTAGTGCAGAATGATGTCCGTGGAGATCTTGCCTCATACCCATTAAGGATTTGGATGACATTGATTTGATGATGGTAGAACCACCCTCGGTCTAAACACTTGAAAGACCATAATGGAAAGGAGGGATTAGACTTGGTCTGTTTGGTTCCCAAAGGGCAGGACCAGCAAGATTTGGGGGACAGTATTAGGCTTGATGCCCAGAAAGATGTGCTAGGGATTAGAACTGCTCAGAAGTAGAATGGGTGGCCTGGTGAGGCGCCGGGTTTTGCCTTGTAGGAATCCTTCAGACCTCCCATTTAAGGAGCAGGCCCTAGCCAATCATGCCTTCATTCCTCTCCATACTACATTCTTTACTGTGCTGAAAGGTGCCTTCCTCTCTCCCCGCCTCCACCGCCCCCCATCTTTTATGTGTTGTTTCCCTCTATCAGAATGTAAGCTCCCAGATGGCACGGGGTGTCTTTGTGCTGGTATTTGTATTCCTAGAGCTAAGCACTGTGTGTTCAAATGCTGCCTCAAACACTTACTAGCTATGTGACCCTGGGCAAGTCACTTAACCTCTGGGTGCCTCAGTTTTTTCATCCATAAGCTATATTGGATTGCTTACCATTTCAGGGAGGGGAGAGGAGGAATGATAGAATTTGAAACTCAAAACCTCAAAGAAATATTTTAAAATTGATTTAAAATTCAATTGGGGAAATATATATCCTTAAACATATATATGTGTGTGTGTGTGTGTGTGTGTGTGTGTGTGTGTGTATAAAATGTATATGTATATGTGTATGTATATATACATATGAATATATATAGATACATATACACATGTATGAGTATATATATATGTGCATGCATGTATGTATGTGTTTATACCAGAGATAACCAATGGACTGACCATTGGTTCCCATACAATGGCAGGAAGTCCCTCAGATGAGAAACCAAAGGATTCACAGGCAGAGAACAGTCATCAATGGGATCATGATTGAGAAGGGAGGAAAAGGAAGCCTGACCAAGGTGTTGAACTAGGAAAATAGGGTGATGTGGCATGAATGGAGGTCACCAGAAGAAGAGTTTTAAGAGAAGTGAGGTGGAGTGGGGGAAGGGGGGAGGGGAGGGTAAGAGATAATGTTCTAGAAAGCTGAATTTCAGAGTTCTAGGTCATGGAGGTTGAACATGGGTGATGCTGAGATCAGTAATAACAGCTAGCATTATAGAGTGCTTTAGGATTTGCAACATATATCTCATGTTCCTCACAATAACCCTGGAAGGTAGGCACTAATATTATCCTCATTTTACAGATGAGAAAACTAAGGCAGGCAAAGGTTAAGTGACCTGCCCAGAATCACACAGCTTGTAGGTGTCTGAGGCCAGATTTGAACCCAGGTCTTCTTGACTCCAGGCCTAGTCTTCCATCCATTGTGCAATCTAGCTGCAATCATGGATATGACCTGTGTGGCAGAGGTAGAGTGACTGTAATAGATGTAAAGTTGGATTAGCTGGGAGGCTCGAACGGTAACATGTGAGTCCAAGTCTTCCAGTGTAAGGGCAGGGGTTGGGATAGAGGAAGTCTGTGAGCCAGGTATTGATCTGCTTGAGGAAAGAGGAAGAGTGGTGTGGGTGCCAAGAGATAGAGCAGATAACCACCATAGGCATCTGGACTGGCAAACCGCTCTGGTATCTTTGCCAAGAAAACTCCAGATGGGGTCACGAAGGGTCAGATACAACACAAAAACCACTGACTAGCTTCAAGTGGGAAAGGTCATAGATGTCTCCAGAAACTGAGAGGGAGGGTGGTGAGGTTGTGTAATTCAAATTTTGACCCTGGAAACTTCAGGTGAAGTGGTGGGGGCAGCTCACTCTGGCTCTTGGGAATCCATTTTCAAATGTGCCCCTCTGAAATCAGAAAATGCTACAATTCGGGGTTGATTTATCATTCTGTTGATTGTCTAGACTTAAAGTGTTGGAAAAAATTACTAATACAGAATAAATTTAAGAGTGCTTCATGGATGGGTTTGTTTGTTTTTGTTTCCCAGGGAGCTTATTATTACACATTTACCAGCATTTCCCTGCTAGATGGGTGGGCTTTCAGACCTGTCTTTAGCCTTTAGAGATTCAATCTAATTTTTTTCAAATACACCTAAGACTAGGTCTGAGGAGGAAGTCCATTAAGTAACCCTTAGCCCCAGTTCCCCTGGAGTGCCCTTTGATCCAGTTCTTTTTCTATGAAAGGCCATGCTGGGATCTGATTAGGCATAACCAGAAGGCTGTGCAGAGGAAAATATGTGGAAGACTTCACTGCTGCCCAAGGTCCTGACTTTGGGGGTCCTGGGCCTCCTGATTCAAGCCCCAGGTGAGCAGTTGTTCCAGGCTGACCCAGAGCAGGGAATGATTATGGGGGCACGTGGGAGGAATCCTTTGATTTTCCCATTGGAGATACGGGACTTGTGCAATGCTTTTTCTCTTGTTGCCCTGACTGACTGCTTCAGTGGGTGGGCTGGGGGTGAAGGATTATTGCTAGTTTAGTTTCAGGAGGCCAAAATCGGTTTGCTGATGAGAAATTGATGCCCTCTCCATGTGTGTTATGTCCAAAAACTCTTCTATCAGCTGCTGGTGGGGGGCAGGGAGAGAGGAAATGCTGACTCATTTTAAAGGAAGCAAATAAGAGTGAGGATGGGGGAGAATCTTTTTACAGGCTGGAAATAGGAGGTCTGTGTTTGCATGAGAAAATGTAGCACAGCTTATTTCTTCCTTTTCTTTTTCTTTCTCTCTCTCTTCTCTCTCTCTCTCTCTCTCTCTCTCTCTCTCTCTCTCTCTCTCTCTCTCTCTTTCTCTCTCTCTCTCTCGGTAAATAGTATTTTATTCTTTTCCAATTTCATGTAAAGATAATTTTCAGGATTCATTTTTTCTACTCACTCCTTCCTCCCATTTCTTCCTCTCAAGATGGCAAGCAAGTATAGGTTATACATGTGCAACCATGTAAACATATTTCTCCATTAGTCAGGTTATGAAAGAAAAAACAGAGCAAAAATGAAAAAACACACACAAAAAATGAACATAGTATGCTTTGATCTGCATTCAGATTCTATAGTTCTTTCTCTGGATGTGGATAACATTTGCCAGCATGAGGCTTTTGGAATTGTCTTAGGTCATTGTATTGCTGAGGAGAGCTAAGTCACTCATAGTTAATCATTGCACATTGATGCTGTTACTGTGTACGGTGTTCTCCTGGTTCTGCCCACTTCACTCAGCATCAGTTCATGTAAGGCTTTCCAGGTTTTTCTGAAGTCTGCCTGCTCATCCTTGCTTATGGAACAATAGTATTCCATTATATTCATATACCACAACTTGTTCAGTCATTCCCCAATGGATGGGCATCTCCTCAATTTCAATTCTTTGCCACCACAAAAAAAGCTGCTATAAACATTTTTGTAGTTGTGGGTGTTTTCCCCTTTTTTATGATCTCTTTGGGATACAGACCTAGTAGTAGTATTGCTGGATCACAGGTTATGAACAGTTTGATTGGCCTTTGGACAGAGTTCCAAATTGCTTTCCAGAATGGTTGGATCAGTTCACAATTCCATCAACTATGCATTAGTGTCCCAATTTTCCCACATGTTCTCCAACATTTATCATTTTCCTTTTCAATCTTATTAGCCAATCTGATAGGTGTGAGATTGTACCTCAGAGTTGTTTTAATTTGTGTCTCTCTAATCAATAGTGATTTAGAACATTTTTTCATGTAACTACAGATGGCTTTAATTTCTTTATCTGAAAACTGCCTGTTCATATCCTTTGTACATTTATCAGTTGGGGAATGACTTGTTTTCATGTAAATTTGACTCAGTTCTCTATATATTTGAGAAATGAGGCCTTTATCAGAAACACTTGCTGTAAAAATTGTTTCCCATCTTTCTGCTTTCCTTCTAATCTTGTTTGTTTTGCTTTTGTTTGTGCAAAACCTTTTTAACTTAACATAATCCAAATGATCCATTTTGCATTTCATAAAGTTCTCTATCTCTGGTATGGTCATACATTTCTTCCGTTCTCCATAGATCTGACAGGTAAACTATTCCTTGCTCTACTAATTTGCTTAGCTTTTATGTCTAAATCACGTACCCATTTTGACCTTATCTTGGGATACGGTGTGAGATGTTGGTCTATGCCTCATTTCTGCTATACTGTTTTCTACTTCTCCCAGCAGTTTTTTGTCAAATAGTGAATTCTTATCCCAAAAGCTGGAGGCTTTGGGTTATTTCTTTATTTTCTTCCTCCCAAGCCACTATTATTTGAATTATTCAGAGAAAAAACTGAAGGCCACCTGATGTTTGTTAAAGTCACTCCCATGCATTTTATATCAGGCTATACTGCGATCTCCTTTGACAAAGGGGGAGTGCTCACTAGGTCTATATCCCAAAAAGGAAAAAAATCGAAAAGGAAAATTACACGTATGTACAAAAATAGTTATAAGCAGATCTTTTCTGGGGGTAAAGAATTAGATATTGAGGGGATGCACATCAATTCGGGAATGGCTGAATAAGCTGTGGTATATAATTGTGATGGAATTCTATTATACTATAAGAAGTAATGTGAGGGATGCTCTCAAAAAAAATCTAGAAAGACTTGCAAGGGTTGATGCACAGTGAAATGTACTGGGTACAAAGTAACAGCAATATTGTAAGATGATCAGCTGTAAGTGACTTAGCTATTCTCAGCAGTACAATGATCCATAACAAATCTGAAGGACTTGGGATGAAAAATGCTGTTCCTCCCCAGAGAAAGAACTGATGGTGTCTGAACACAGAGTGGAGCATTTTTTTACTTTCTTTAATTTTCTTGAGTTTTTGTGTCTATGTTTTCCTTCTCAACATGACTATAATGGATATGTTTTGCATGACTGCACGTATACAACTTAAATGGAATTGCTTGCCTTCTCAATGAGGTGAGGTTGGGGAGGGAGAAAGGGAGAGAATTTGGAACTCAAAGTCCAAAACAAATGTTAAAAATACTTTTAAAAAGGAGGGGTCAGTGCTTATCTTTCAGAGGCAGGCCTGACCCTTGTCCTTCTGATCCAGGCAGAGTGTGGCTGTATGCCCTGACAGTTGTGCAGTCTCTAGCTCTTGGACTCTAGGATGGGGAGCTGGGAGGAATCTCAAGGACCATTGAATTCAATGCCCTTTTCCCATTTCATCAAAGAGGAGAAACAGGCTTAGGGAAGGAAAGGAATTGTTTCAAGTTCACACAGGCAGTAAAAGGGAGAGCTGTGATTGAACTCCTATCCTCTGAGCCCAAATGCAGTCCTCTGTGCATCCAGCCTTATTACCTGCTACTCTATTCACATTCGAGGTGTTGTCGCTCAGTCGTTTTTCAGTCATGTCTGGCTCGTGGTGATCCTCTTTGGGGTTTTCTTGTCAAAGATACTGGAGTTGGTTTGCCATTTCCTTCTCCAGCTCATTTTACAGATGAGGAAACTGAGGCCAACAGTGTTAAGTGACTTGCCCAAGGTCACACAGTTAGGAAGTATCTGAGGCTGGACTGGAACTCAGGAAAAGGAGTCTACCTGACATATACTATAGTAGGTGCTCCTTAAGTCTTTGCTCAGTTGGGTCATACTAATAAATGATGGCACTGATTTTTAGCTCTGTGCTTTCCTGAGCTGGGCTGGGGGTGGGATTGTTGGGGAGCAGTGGCTGTGATCTTGAGCCTCAGGCTCCCCAAGGCTGGATAGCACCTGAGTCAGTGGCAGAGCTGTCTAAAAGTACAAATGGCCCTTCTCTGGAGTAAGATCCCCATTGCTGGAGATCTTTTAGGGAAATGAAAAGAATCATGGCAGAAATAAGAGGAACCTTGCATTCCCATCTAATGAAAAAATGGTCATAGTGGGGGATATTGAGGGGGTATTTGGACATCATTTCAGCCCTCTGTACCTGAGGATTTCTCTGCCTTTTGTTCACAGGGCATCATGCAGATGACCTCATCAGGACCACTGAGTCTGGACACATCCAAGGGACTCAAATCAGTATCAAGGGGACTGACAAAGTTGTCAATGTTTTCCTGGGAATCCCCTTTGCCAAACCCCCTGTGGGGGCCCTGAGGTTTTCTCCTCCACAACCACCAGATTCATGGAGCAATGTGAGAGATGCAACTACTTATCCACCTATGTGAGCACCTTCCTCTATTCTTTTCTTACCAGATCAGCACAGGGCATCATGTTGTCTTATCCACATTTTGTCTCTCTGAGCTGTGCATACAGTAGACATTTTATTAAGTATTTGTGGAAGGAATGAATGTTTCCTGGGCTGTGAGGCCTCAAATAATTGCTTAATGATAACAGTTTGTGTTTTTTTGAGTTTTGAGAATAACAGACTTCCGGATAATATTGTGATACTTAGTACACATATTGCTACAGATAGAAAAACAAAGGCTAACAGAGATTAGAGGCAGCTAGGTGACGCAGAGGATAGAATACTGGGCCTGGAGGCAGAAAGACCTGAGTTCAAATGTGACCTCAGACACTTACTAGCTATGTGACCTTGGGCAAGTCACTTCACCCTCTTTGCCTCAGTTTCCTCATCTGTAAAATGAGCAGGAGAAGGAAATAGCAACTGCTCTAGTATATTTGCCAAGAAATCCTCATATAGGGTTACAAGAGTCAGACAGTACTAAACAACTACAGATATTAGGTAACTCACCCAAGGTCACAAAGCTAGTAAATAACAAAGCCAGAACTCACAGACTGGTAGGCTCAAAAAGCTGGAGGTCATTGAATCAGACCCCTCATTTTGTTTTTTATGCAGTAGGATGACTTTTGCTTTGGAGACCACACTTACTGCTCATTCCATACCCCAGCCTCCCTCCTACCCCTCCCACCTAATGCTCCTCTGTAACAAAGAAAATCCAACTCACAGAGTGGCCCCGCAGTTATGCTCTTCTTAAAACGCTACTCTTCATGGTAAGTATTGGTCTAGCTCGACCATCATTGATCTGCAGCAAGATTTCTGAGTTCCTCACACTCATCCTCTCTTACAAAGCAATCACATTCCAGGACATTCATACACTGTGGTACGTTCAGCTATTTTCCTATTGGTAATATCTATTGGGTTTCCATATTGTTGTTGTTGTTGTTGTTTTCATCTAAAAAATACTTTGTTTCCTGCTTAACAATCACCAACAAAAACCAAACATTGTCAGTATACAATAAATAACAAAAAGACTGTATATGAAGTTGTGAAATGTTGGCAAGTCACTACACCTCTGCCTGCCTCAGTTTCCTCATTTGTAAAATAGGGATAATAACAGAACCTAGCTGTCAAGGTTATTGTGAGGGTCCAATGAGATCATATTTCTAAAGTGCTTTACAAACTTCAGAGCACTCAGTTATTATTATTAATTATTATTATTATTATTATTATTATTATCCCCATGTGATTCTATTCAGATCATTCATCTCTTGTGTTTTCCAGGTGTTTGCAGGATGTTGCTTCCCTAGAAGAAATGACAAGGGCAGTGAAAATAAACCTCTCTACAACTGCCAGTTCTGAAGACTGTTTGTACCTCAATATCTATGCTCCTGTGCATGCAACGGAGGGGGCCAGATTGCCGGTAAGCCAGATGTCTGTATGTTCCACAAGGGATCTGGAACTGGGTGGCATCCTAGAGGTCACCTCATCCCACCAGCATGGGAACAGTCATCCTCTCTATATTGCTGACAGGTCATCTAGCCTTCCCTGAAGTTGTCCTGGTCAGGGAGCTCACTACTTCTCAAGGCAATCCACTCTACTTTAGGGCAACAACTCACATTGTTAGTGAATGGTTGCTTCTGTGAGGCTAAAATCTGCCTCCTTATACCTTCAAGGCATTGAGGTGGCACACTGGATAGAGTCCCAGGCCTGGAGTCAGGAGGACTCATTTTCCTGAGTTCAAATCCAACCTCAGACACTTACTAGCCATGTGACCCTGGACAAGTCACTTCACCCTGTTTGCCTCAGTTTCCTCATATAAAAAATTACCTGGAGAAGGAAATGGCAAAACACTCCAGTATCTCTACAAGGAGAACCGCAAATAGGGCCATAGCGAGTTGGACATGACTAAAAATAATTGAAAAAACTTTAGGGAGTTGGTTCCATGATCTGGAATTATATCAATTTCTGCTAAACATTATTATTGCTAAAAGAACAGAACAAAGCCTTGAGAAAGTGTGACCTTCCAAACACTTCTTGACCCTGTCCAGAGCTATCATCTGATTGCTGTAGGGAACTCTACTATGTGGGAACTCTCTCTGTTGACGAGGACAGGCACCTCCTTTGTCACTTAGAGTCTTGGCTTGTCAGGTGTACTGAGATGCTAAGTAACTTCTTTGAGGCCACATATCTCATATGTGTCCAAGGCAGGACTCGAACCCAGCCCTTCTCACCCCAAGGCTAGCCCTCCATCATCCACACCAGGCTTCCTTTCTGAAAATAAATGATAGTGACTAAAACTGCTCACATGTCATCTCCCCATGAAGCCTTCTCTGAACCTCAACAAACCAACATTCAACTCAACAGCCATTTCTACAAGCCTGGAGCCCTTCTGCTCAGTGCTGGGGACACAAGCAGAGGTGTGGTTTCTCTCACCTCTGAGCTGCCTTAACATTATTTTGGATCTCCCTGATGATGTATCACATACCTTATAGCATTTAATACAGACTGTGCTGTTCAGTCATTTTTCATGACCCCATTTGGAATTTCCTGGGCAAAGATGTTGCAGTGGTTTGCCACTTCCTTCTCCAGCTTATTTTATAGATGATGACACTGAGGGCAAAAAGGTGAAATGACCTGCTTAGGTAGTAAGTGTCTGAGGCTGGATTTGAACTCATAAAGATGAGACTTCCTAATTCCAAGCCCAGCACTCTCTCCTCTAAGCCACCTAGCTGCCCCAATACAGGCTATATCAGTCATTTCTGGATCCATATCCTATCCTTGCACTCTGTTTGACTGAAAGGACTTTGAGGGCAGGGACCTAGTCTTATTCAAAAAACCCATCACAAAGCCTTGCACATAGTAGGTGTTAAGGAAATGTTTGGAATGAATGAATACACCACAAAGCCAGAGCAAGTTCCTAAATATAGATAGGAATATCAGAGTTGTTTTCATAAAAGGAGTTTGGGAGCACCTGGGTGGCAGAGTGAATAGAGCACCGGACCTGGATTCAGGAGGACCTGAGTTTAAATCCAGCCTCAGACTTGACACTTGACACTTACTAGCTGTGTGACCCTGGGCAAGTCACTTAACCCCAATTACCAAAAAAAAAAATACTCCAGGGCTTGGAGAATGAGAAAACTGGAGGAAATGCCACCCATGCTGGCCCTGCAAAGGGAAACAAGGAATGAATTTCCATTGCTTCCAGGAGACTTAGGGACACCTGGAAGGAAGGAGTGAGCTGGGGTAGATGTGAGGTTGCCTGGTTCCATGGAGCAGAGGACTTTTGTGCAAGAGAAACTGAGCTTGCCAGGCAAAGCTCAGCAGACCATAATGATTTATGTTTTGTATGAAGGGTGGGAAATAAGATGTGTGTAGTAACAACCAAACTACAAAGTATGGTGAAGAGAATATTGGATTTAGAGTGAGAATTCCTGAGGTCAAAACTCAGCTCTGTTATTTACTAGCTGTATGACCTTCTCTAGTCCTCAGTTTCCTCATTTGTGAAATGGGGCTCTTGCACTAGGCATTCTAAAATCCCTTTCAGCCCTAAAACCTATGATCCAATGATGCTGCCTGACACAGAATTCGCGGGTACACAGTCATACCCACCAAGATGATCGCCCAAGGGAAGCAGGTCCAAGGCAAGTCCACTCCTGTGATGGGCTCCCTGTTGTATCCTTATACTCGCTGACTCACAGCAAAGTGTGCCCCACCCATAGCCAGTGCATATTCTGACTTTCTCAGGGCCCTAGAGTGATCCATTGCATTTACCCATACATCTGCAATCTGTCTCCTTCCTGAGGCCTAAACATGTCCTCCACAGAATTCCAGCCAATCCCTTGCTCCATTCCATAGAAGGGAAAGAATCTTCCCATGTGAGCAAAAGCCCCTTCAGCTCCCTGCCCCTCCTAGGCATGCAGCATCCCAACGCACTGACAAAAGGAACCATACCATGAAAACACCATAGAGTTATGTGAATAGTAAAAGCAGGTCTTTCTCTTGTGATTTTAGATATAGAGATTATGAGATCTGTTCTTTGCCCACCATTTAACACTTAGAATTGGATAGAGCACTGGGCCTGGAGTCAGGAAGACCTGAGTTCAGATCTGGCCTCAGGCACTCACTATCCCTGTCATCCTGGGCAAATCACTTAACCTCTATTTCCCTTAATCCACTGGAGTAGGAAATGGCAAACCACTCCAGTAGCTTTGCTATGAAAACCCCATACTGGGTCACAGACTTGGTTGTACATAGTAGATTTGCAGTTTCATGTGCAATCATCTGTATTATATTATGTTATAGAAATGCTTGTTTTATTCCATAAAGTAAAAAATAAAATACTTTTTAAAAGAATCAACAGAGGGCAAAGCCTAGTTCTGGTGATCTCTTCTAGCATCTTCTCTTGGCTTTGACAGAGCAGCTACTGTTACATGGAAAGGTTCTCTGGGCCGCCGCTGAAACACCCACAAGATGATGTGACACAAAGAGCTTATTGTCCGCGGTGCGTTCTCAGTTCTTGGGCTGGGTCTGTGTCCCACGGAAGGGAGTCCTGCCTCCTTTCCCTCCTCCAGTGGGAGCAAGGATCCTGTAAAAGAGGCTGTTTTGCTCTGTGTGTCTTTGGCAGCAGGAGGACCTCAGGGAACTGATTCTGCCAGGAATATTCCAAGGAGGATCTGAACTGCCTCTGAGTCAAGTCACTTGAGAGTAGCTCTGATACATACCTTATAGACTCTTGATATACAGTATCTTGATAAGTGAATCCACTCACATTTAGAGCTACTTTATCATGGGTCACAAGATAACAGGATACAGTACTTTCCTGTTGTGCAAGGGAGCAGCAGAGCCGCAGTTGGTGGGATTTGTTCCTGTAAAAAAAAAAAACCATGTCTGATTCCTGCAGGTGATGGTGTGGATTCATGGTGGTAGTTTCATTTTTGGCGGTGCTTCCACATATGAGGGTTCGATATTGTCTGCCTCCCAGAATGTGGTAGTGGTCAACATCCAGTATAGGCTGGGCATCCTTGGGTTCTTCAGGTGAGATTTAACCCTGATAAAATGTGAGAATAAGTATTTTTCCCTGATAAGCTCCCAGATCTCTGACTGATTGAATGATGATAAACATAATTTCCTGATTAAATGACATCTTTTCCTTTCCCTTGCTTTCCCCACAAATTAATCATGATATAGTAGAAAAAACACTAGATTTGTGGCCTGAGGACCCAATTTTAAATTATGGCCCTGCTTCTTATGACCAATAAATTCACTTCTCCCTTGGCCTCAGATTCTGGATAGATAGATAGATAGACAGATAGATAGATACATAGCTGGATAAATGGATGGATGTATGGATGGATGAAAGGATGGATGTACAGACGGGCAGAAGGATGGATAGATGGATGGATGGATGGATGGATGGATGGATGGATGGATGGATGGACGGACGTACTAGCAGACAGATAGTCAGGTAGTTAAACATTTATTAAGAACCAGGCATTGTACTAAGTGCTGGGGTTACAAAAACAACTAGACGGTCCTACTGTGTTAGCCTAACCCGAGTTTGCTGTACTGCATAGTAATCAAGCTTATGATTCCTTTAGCTTTCCAAGTACCAAATTTCTGTAAAGTATTACTCTAAAGTTATCTGCCCCTTTCACTGTGCTCTCTGGCATGACTGCTCCCTAAGTAGCAAATTTGTTTCCGTCTTTAATCCTTTTCTTTCTTACCCCTTCTTTCTACTTGTCCTCACCAAATCCTGACTTTTTTTTTTCTGATGAGAACTTTCCTGGTGACCATTTCCAGCACTATTTGCATTTTCAGTAATCCCTCCATCACTGGGAAGCCAAAATACTCTTTGTTTCCCACTACCACTTCCAGACTCTCCCTCTACCACCATCACTCAGTAACTTCTCCTCCTTTGAGGTTCATTCAATCCATGTTCATCACCCAGTCAAGATTCTAGTAGCTGTTATTTACCATCCTCATGGACACTCTCCTTCCTTTCTCAATGAGTTCAATGCCTTGTTTCTAGTCTCTCTCTTTCCCAACTCCCATCTTCATACTGAGGGACTTCAGCATTCATTCCTCAGTGTATTCATTTCTCATAAACTACTCTTCCATCCCACCTTAGCTAGATACAGAGATGGTATCACGTTGATTTTACCCTGACTCACTTCTATGTTCATTAAATCTGAAATTCTTCTATCTAGTTACAATCTCTTATCCTTCCTCTAGATTCTCTGTTTTGTAACTCCTAACCCTGTTCTTCATTCTCACCTTGACCTTCAATTCCCCCACCCCTCACTTCTTTCCCAGTCCATCACCCCTGCCTGGTTATACTCTCTTCCTTCCTCCATCTTAATACCTTACTGAACCACTTCACCTTATACTGACCCCTTATCCTATGACAAATCTTTCCCTGCCAAACATCAGCCTTGAATTACTCCCATCATCTACTGCTTTTGCTCTTCTTTGTATTTGGCTGAATGAAGATAGAGAAAATCATGAAACCATGTTGCCTGGATCCATTCAGATTAATGTTACACAACGTTAAATGGGTCCTCACTGTGGCAAGACAATCTTTCTGCACCTCTGTAATCAATATACTATGTTATTCACTATAGTGGCTTTTCTAAACCTTTATATCCCTCCTTAAACTTCTCATGGTTTCTCCTCTCATTATCTCAACTCAGAACCTTGCTGTATATTTTGCTGGAAAAAAAAAAGTGAGGCCATCCACTGAGCTCCCTCATATCCCCTCCTCCTTATCTCACATTGATCAGATACCTTCTGTTGCTATTTTCTCCTTTACCTCTTACTCACACGAAAAAATGGACCTTTTCTTCTCTGAGGCTAAGCTTTCTACACACACAAATAATCACATTCCATCCAGTCTTCTCCAGAAGACTGCCCTTTCAATCTTACCTCACCATTCTTTAATCTCTCTTGCTCTCTCTCTCTCTCTCACTCTCCCTACCCCTTCTCATCATGGCTGCTTCCCTAATACTAACCATCCATCCAGCCATTCATCCATCCATCCATCCGTCCTACCTATTATCTCACAAATATCCTTCCTTCTGTAGCTAGATATTTTGATACTTTTCTTTTATTCTCAACTATCTCAAAATGTATGTCCCAAATACAACACTTCCAAAACTCTTTTCGCTTTCCCACCAAGTCCCCCCTCTTCATAACATCCTTATTATTTATCAAAGACACCATCATCCTCCCAGTCACTTGTGATCTAGGTGTTACAGTCCACTACTCACCCTCTTTTCCCCTATTTCCAATCTGTTACTAAGTCTTATTGATTCTACTCTTGCTACATCTCTCATATATACCTGCTTCTCTTCTCTGACAGTGTTGAGGTTTAGAGTGGGGAGAGCTGGTTCAGGTGTGAAAGAATTCACTTAGACCTTCTGTAACCATTGGGAGCTTTATTTCATCAAAGCTTCATAGGCCTGAGGTTAGCAAGGAGCTAAACAAAGGCACCAATATAGGAGAAGACCCAGGATTATATAGACAGAAGGCTATACAGCCTATAGGATGATGGTGTATTTTTAGGGTTTCTTAAGGGGGTTGGAGATTAGGGACAGGATAAGAACAAACAAGATGAGGAAGATGGTTGCTTACAAGGTAAGGAAAAATTGTTGTGACACAGGATGAGGAGGATGAATGACAGGATAAAGAACACAGGATAAGGGAAACAAAGGCGATTCTTTTGGTACAAGCTGTATGGTATTTCACTCTAAGGGGAAAAGGACTTGAGAAGCTCTCAAGTTCCAGGATCTCAGGGTACAGGACGGGCCACAGAATGAACCTCAAACCCCCTCATGGGGCCTGGGAAAGTAATCCTTACTATTATTTTTAATCCTAGGGCACTCTTTGTCCCCACATCAACACTACCACACTCCAGAGCAAACCTGGACTAATAATACCCAATTAGTTGGCCTCTTTGCCTCTTCTCTCCCTGCTCCAATTCATCCTCCACTCAGCTGTCAGTGATCTTCCTACAGCACAGGTCAAACCATCAGCCGTTATTCAGTCAATGAATCAGTTAACAACCATTTTAAAGTACTTATTATATGCCAATCATTGTGTTAAGTGCTTGGGATGCAAAGGAAAGTCAATTTCTACTCTCAGTTCTAATGGAAGACAACATGTAAATAGCCATATAGATACAAAATATATACAAGGTGAAGGAGAAGTGATCTCAGAGGGAAGATGTAACAATTGTGGTTTTGAAATATATTGTGTCATGTTGATGTTGTAAGTGATAGAACTCCAACCTGGAGTCACAGGGTAAGTGGTCCTAAGGACCATAAAACATTTAAGCAATAGTAGATAGCCAGTATTTTCACAAGCCCTGACTTATTCTGATCCTGTGAGTAACCTCAGCTCCTGAGTGGACTCCCAGCTGACTGCATGGCTCTGTGCTGGCACCCACTCCAGAAGTCCCTGAGTCAGCCATCAATAAGGGATCCTGGGGAACATCCCTACCACACTGGGGTCTGACTAAGAATGCCTTCTCTCACGTATTGTGCTGATTGTCCCAATCAAACCTGCCTTTAAGGGATAAGACTGACCTTCTCAAAGCCCACTCAGAGGGTGTACTCCCACCAAGATCTTGCTACTTTACAAGTCTCCCTCATGTGAGTGCCTTGAATATCTGTCTGTCAATACAGGTTGTCATATAATGTGTGTGTGCTTGTGTGTGTGTGTGTGTGTGTGTGTGTGTGTGTGTGTGTGTTGCTTTCATTTTTGCCGGCTTAGTGCACCACATGGTAATAAAGCTCATGCTTCTCCTAGCTTCCCCAGGACCAATTTTCTATAAAGTCTCAAACTGGAGTGCTTGCTCTGGAAGGCCCTAGCAGTGAGGGTGTATGGGGGAAGGGGAGGAGGAAAGACTAGTTCTCTTCAAAAAGGTGGAATTAGAGCTGTCTCAAATTCCTTCCAGGAATTCCAGTCATGAGGATAGCCAGTGCAACTCGAATTTGGGAGGTAGAGAGTTGTATTTGAGGAGCACAAGGAGGGTGATGTTGCTGGACTGCAGAATTTGTGGAAAGGAACCTGGCCTCCTCCTCCCTCTCTAGTCTTCTCATACTCCTCCACATTCTCTGCCTCGTTCCTCATCCTTGAAAAAGATATTCCATTGAATCAGTTCATTTTCACTCCTCTTTCTGGCCTCCTTCGAGACTTGGTGCTAATCCCACCTTCTGCAAGAAACCTCTCCCTGCCTCCCTTACTGCCAGGGCCTTCCCTCTGGGATCATCCCCAATCTATCCTGTATGGATCTTCTTTGGGCACAGCTGTTTGCATGCTATCTCCCCCATTAAGCTATGAACTCCTTCAGGGCAGGGACTATGTATATCTTTCTCTGTATGGCCAGAGCTTGGTAAAGTGCCTGGTACATAGTAGGTGCTCAGTAAATGTTTCTTGATTTGACATTCTAATAAAGGAAGACAAAACAGAAGGGGAGGAAAAGAGGAGGAAGGGAGAGTGGGGGCAAAGCAGCTGCAGGGGGGAGGTCAGGGAGTAAGCTAGAAGGCAAAGAAGCAGCATGGCAGAGGCTCCCCCTGAAAGGAACAATAAGCCATGGAAAGAGGTGCACTGGACATCCTGCGGGTGGGGAAATTCAAGATCTGTGTCACCAGTTTACATCTGTAAAATCAGAACAGCAACAACTAGCATTCATGTGGTCCTTTAAGGTTTACAAAGTGCTTTATTAATAGTGTGTCATTTTATCCTTGCAACGACTCTGAGAGATACATGCCATTATTGTCCCCTTTTTCCAGAGAAGGTAACTGAGTCAGAGGACTACGTGACTACCCCATTGTCACCCAGCTAGTAGATGAACACTGGTCTTGTCAGGTCTAGGTCCAGCAGTCTATCCAGTTTATCATCCAGCTGGAGGCAATGGTCTTTAAATGTCATAATCCTATTAACTAGGTGCTCTTCTTCAGAAGTCTCCAACCTTGTCTAATATCTGGCTTTCAGCACTGGGGATGAGCATGCACCTGGCAACTGGGGTTACCTGGATCAGGTGGCTGCCCTGAGATGGGTCCAGAAGAACATTGCCCACTTTGGAGGAGATCCTGGCCTTGTGACCATCTTTGGCGAGTCAGCTGGGGGGACAAGTGTTTCCTCACATGTAAGTGGTAAGGAAATGACCCCAGCCTGAACGGGGCCTCTTGTAGCAAAAACTACTCTCACGCACCTGACTTTTTCTTCCTCTTCTATCATCCTCACTCCTCTCAGAACCATTGGAGCTGTTGACTTCTTTCTCTAAGGCTGACACCTGACCTTGCCTTTCATTTGGAGGTCCCACTACACTCTCCTGCCCTAGTCCTGACATTGTCTAGGCCCTTCTTTCTCTTGCTTTACTGGAGATAGAAGATGAGTTATCCTTTTTCAAAGGCTTACTAACAACTACAGGTAAGAGCAAAAGAAATATACAGGGTAATGATAAAATAATTCAAGGCCCAATGGATCCACATTTCACCATTGAGGTTCACCTCTTCCCAACACTGCTCAGAGCCTCTATGCACCTTCCAAGATGGCCTTTGTGACCAGCTGGGGCTGCAGATCTGCTCTCTCCAGTGTTTGCTGATGAGTCTCTGAGAACTTGACATGACTGGCCCTCATATGACAGACATAAAGTCCATCGGGGGGCTTAGAGACAAAGATCATCTGGCTTGGTAGCCCTCCTGCCCCAGGAGTCTGCACATCACTGACTTAGTCTCCAGTATGTAATAAGGCATAGGAGGAAGACTTCAGTAGAAGGATAATACTAAAAAAAATAGCTGATGGGAAACTGGCAAATTCCCATGATATAGTGGGAAAAACTGTTGGGTTTGAAGTAATTTGATCTACACAACAACCCTGGGCTTTTTCATAATCAATAAACAAACAATAATCAATAATGTGACCTTATAAGGAGGCAGGGCATAGAAATAGCATTGCTGGATTACAGAGCACAGGCATTTTATCATGCCCTGTTACTGAGCCACCCAGAGAGTCCTGGACCTTGGGCAAGGCTACTTAGCTTGCTTTTCTGTCTAACTATCTTATAGGCCTGGCTGTGCCCAAGGGCCCCAAGGCCCGGGTCCCGTAGAGAGGGCTCTGTTTCGGACTGTCCTATATGAGTAGCTTAGGGGTGTGGCAGGTAAGTAATAGTCCTGGCCTTCAGACTCCCAGTCTCCTCTGTCTTTGCTAAGCCAGGAGTGCTGGTCCTCCCCATGACAGCTTCCTCCTTCTCTCTCTGGTCGTTTGCTCCCCAGGTTCTGTCTCCCATGACCAAAGGCTTGTTCCACAGAGCAATCATGGAGAGTGGAGTGGCCATCCTCCCTGGCTTGATTTCTTCCAGCTCAGAAATGGTTATGAACGTAAGTTGCTTGTACTCTGTTCTTTGCAATCCCTCTTATCCTTCCTTAGGCTTGTTAGCCTCCCAGCCCCATAGCCTTTCCCGCTCACCTGGGCTATAAGAAGGTACACCGGAATGCCACTGAATGTTCAAGCTGAAAGTTACCACGGAGATCATCCAGTCCAGCCCCCTCATTTTACAGAGGAGGAAACTGAGGCACAGAGAGGCAGGATTCAGTTTGTGGCTCTGTTTCTTACTTTACTTGTGATTTTAGGTAAGGCATTTCCTTCTTGGGGCCTCAGTATTTTCCTCTGTAAAAGTGGATTCAATTAGATGGTTTGTAAAGTCCCTTCTAGCTCCCAATTCTATTTTCTGACACCCCAGAACACCAGGAAGCATTTCTCGAAGAATCACAGATATAGGTTAGATGGAATGATCTGTGAAGTCCCTTCTACCTCTCTAGTTCACTCGTTCTATGACCTGTCCAAGGTCACACAATGAGTTGGTAACTGACCTGGGACAAGAATGGAGGTCTCTGAGCCAATGTCAGGGCCCTTTCAACATACCAGACTCCATCACGTGTCCTTTAGAGATAGCTAGGTGTTTTCTCTCTGACGAAATGGTGAACCCTTGGGGAGAAGGGACTGTGTCCTTGTAACCTTCCCCTGCCCATCCTTATATCCATTGGCTGGCACTGAGCCCTGTACAGAGAAGGCTGGTGATTTGGGGACTCACTCCCTTTGGCGGTCAGACAGATTCAAGCGTGGTCTGCTTTTCATTGCATCATCACCTATTGAAATGATCCTTTGCTATGTTCCTGATGAGTATGAGAGGATTCCTCTATTGTGATACAGGCCAGGGGTTCCTCCATGAGAATATTAACTCTCTGTGGGTGCCTCTTTGCAGGTCATTGCCAATCAGTCTGATTGTGATGGACACAGTTCTGCCTCCATGGTTCAGTGCCTTAGGAGCAAATCTGAGGGCGAGATCCTGGCCATTACCAAGGTATGGAAGCTGAGAAGCAAGGGTTCCAGGATGAACAAGAGCTGTCAACACAGCTCAGGCCAGGGCTGGACACCCAGCCTTGATGAGGTGGGATTGAGGGGAAGATCTTGGGAATGTCACTCTCTTAGCCTCACTTTCCCCTACTAACTAGATGAACTTCAAGGATATTCCCACCTCCAATATTCTATGTCCAAAGGTCCCTTCTACTTCTAAAGTTTTCTTTCTAGGATCTCTCCTACCTCCAAACATTCTGTGCTTCAAATTTTTTTTATGCTAAGGTTCCACCATTTCCACTCTGAACATGCTTTGTCCTAAGAATTCTTCCAACATTCTATGTTCTAAACATTTTAGGTTCTAAAGTTCCAAGCTTTTTCATTCTATAGTCTTATAACCCTTCCCACTCAGACATTCTCTGTTTATAGAATCATAGCTTTAGGGCTAGAGGGATCCATTCTAATCTGATTTGAACATTCTGGGTTCCAGCATTGTATGTTCTCAGTTTCTTCCACTGCTGATATTCTACTTTACAAGATTTTTTTTCAGCTGTAATATTCTATGCTCTAACATTCTATAAGCTAAGGTATGGAGGATGCAGCTATGTGGTGCAATGTTTAGAGTGCAGGGAAAACTGACCTGAGTTCAAATCTAGCTTCAGACACTAGCTGTCATTTCACCTGTTTGCCTCAGTTTCCTTATTCATAAAATGGGCATAATAACACCTACCTCCCAGGATTCTTGTGAAGATCAGTTGATAATAATCATAAAGTGCTTATTAGCACAGTGCCTGGCACATAGAGCTAAATAAATGTTAGTGGTGATGATGATGATGATGATGATGATGATGGTGATGGTGTTGGTGTTAGCAGTGGTGGTCCCTTCCAACTCCAATATTCTGTTCTTTGTCACCTTCCAGATCTAACATCCTATGAATCTTTAGAAGAAAGGGTCTCAGTTGTAGGAAGACTCTATCTCTTGGGATTAATAGCTGTCAATTAAATATTCCTTTTCTTAAAAACACATTTCACGTACATTATCTCATTTCAATAATTTTGCGACAATCATGTGCTATTGGTATTACAAGTATGATGTCATTCCCAAGTTACAGACTTGGAAATTAGAACCATTAAGTGGAAGCAGCGAAAGGTCAGAGAGCTATTTGCTTTTCTATTTGTATCCTCAGAGCCTAGGACAGTTTGGGGATTAATGTGTTGGCGGATTATTTTACAAAGGAGGAAACTGAGTCCCAGAGGGGTTAAGTGACTTTGCCAAAAGTCACACAGCTTGCAAATATCAAGACAGTTGCATACCCCAGATCTTTAGAACCAAGATCTTCATTCGTTGCATCACACTGCTTCCTCAAAGAATTCATTTGTAGTAAGTGTTAGAGCCAGATTAAATATCAATACCAGATCTAATTGCTTCTAATTGTTCAGTCATTTTTCAGTGGAGTCCAACTCTTGATGACTGCATTTAGGGTTTTCTTGGCAAAGATACTAGAGTGCTTTGCCTTTTCCTTCTCCAGCTTATTAAGAAAGTGTAGCCAACAGGGTTAAATGCCCAGGGTCACACAGCTACTAAGTGTCTGAGGCCAGATTTGAACTTAGGAAGGTGAATCTTTCTGACTCCAGGCCCAGCGTTCTGCAAATGTGCCACCTAGCTGCCTCTGCATCTAATTACACTCTCCATTATGCCATATTGACTCTCCTTCCTTCAATCTGAAAACCATTATGTTTTTCAACCTGATTTGACAACAGTTTCCTCATCTGGAGAATGAGAGGGTTGGACCAGATGGTCTTCTAAAGCACCTCCCAGCTCTAAATCTACAGTCTTAGGAATATCCTTTCCCAAAGCACCCAGGAGGCCGAGTTCCATTCTGGCCGCAGCAGATGCCAAGGAGACAGGAGAAGAAAGGATTCCTGACTTTCAGTCAAACCCAAGGCTGGTATTCAGATACTGAACGATTTGGTGCCTCCATGGCTTTCCTCCCTTATCTTATATTACCTCCCTGCATGCACTCTATGCTCCAGCCAAACTCATCTGTCCTCAGTCTTCTAAATGTTCCCTTTACTCTCTTACCTCCGTGCCTTTGTTCAGGTGTATCTCGTGTCTGTAAAGTCCTCCCTTCTTATTATCATACTGATTTATGAAGTGCCTTTCTCATAACAATCCATGAGGTAGGAAGTACAAGAATCATTATTCCCATTATATAGATGGATAAACTTCTGAGGAAGTCTCAGTGAATAGAGAACCTGGCCTGGAATCAAAAAGACCTGACTTCATAACTAGCAGGAGACATCTACTAGCTGTGTGACCGTGGGCAAGTTACTTAACCTCTGTTTGCCTTAATTTATAAGAGAAGGAAATGATGAATCACTCCATTACCTTTGCCAAGAAAACCCCATGGATAATATCAGTGTGCTATGGTCCAAGGGGTCATGAAGAGTCAGACACAACTGAACAGCAACAACAAACCTGGATGGAGCACAGAGACAGTGACTTCTCCACTTCTCCACCATCACACAGTCAGTAAACATTAGAGCTGGGATTCCAGCCCAGGTGTCTCCCAATTTTCAATCCAGTGTTCCTTCCTCCCCCACCTGCTGCCTCTCCTAGCCCTCCTTTGTCTGTTGAATTCTTCACATTAAATTCCCATTAAAGCCCAATTCCAGTACACTTTTTTAGGAAGCTTTGTGGGAAAAGATCTTGACAATAATTTAGTCCAATGCACTCATTTTGTAGGGGAGGAAATTGAAGCCAGAGAAATGTCATTTGCCTAAAGTTACAGAGTCTGTTAGTGGCTAAGCCAGGACTAGAATCCAGATCTATTGACTTTGAGGCTAGTGCTCTCCTGCTGTTCATTCCAGAAGCATTTCTGGAGCAACTTCTGTGTCCGGGCTGGGGGACACAAAGTTTAGATAAGGAAAATGGGCCATGATTGAACTCCCTTTCTTAGGGGAGAGGGCTTTGTGCCATACACAGGTAACAGAACCTAAGTCCATAGCTGGAGTCACAAGCACATGTAGTGGGAACTCTCAGAAAGAAAAGGGTCCTTCTGGCTGCCATCTCAGAGAAGGCTTTGTGGAAGAAGTGGCAGTTAAACTGGCTCTTTAGGCAAGTGAAGAAATTCTGCATGTAACAATGAGGGACAGGGAGTGAAGTGAACCAAGGCAGAAAGGTAGGAAAAGGTTATTGACTTGCAGTGGAGAGCTGGAAATCCATTGTTGGTGAAACCTAATGTACTTGGAACAGGTCAGAGTCCACATAGTATGAGGTAAGGCTAGAAAGGTAGAAGAGAGGGCTCTGAATGCCAGACTGAAGTGTTAGACATTTTCTTTGGGTAATGGGGAGTCATGGGAATTTTTTTAATGCAGTGGAGTGTCATGAGCAGATCTGAGATCTGCTCTGTGTGTGTGTGTGTGTGTTTATGTGTGTATGTGATAAATTAGAGGGTGTAAGAGAGAGGCCAGTTTGGACTGTTGCAAGAGTGCAGATAAGTGGGGACAGCTAGGTAATGGATAGAGCACTGGCCCTGGAGTCAGGAAGGCCTGAGTTCAAATCTGGCCTCAGGTACTTACTACTAATGTGACCCTGGGCAAATCACTTAACCCTGATTGCCTCCAAAAAAAAAAAAGAGCTCAGGTAAGTTATAAAAATTGTCTGAAATAGGATGGAAACAACAAGAATGAGGAGAAAGTGATACATTGAAAGGAGATTGTGGAGATAGATATACCTTTTCTTTTTTTTCTGCTTTCTTTAGCATTTTAGGATATTCCCTGGTGCAGTTGATGGACAGTTCCTCCCCAAACATCCTGAAGAGTTGCTGGCTGCAGGAGAGTTCCACCACGTCCCTTCCATCATCGGTGTCAACAACCATGAATACGGCTGGAGTATTCCTGCAGTAAGATTCTAGCACATTTTTTTCCATGCCAGCTTCTTTCTGATCTCAACAGTTTATGCTTCTCTAAAGAATCACAGACTTTCTGAGTTGGTCAGGAGCTTGGTGGCCATGGAGTCTAAGCCAGAGTTGAAGGAGAATCCTTCCTATACCTTGGTGGACAAATGGCCATCCAGCTCCTGCTTGAAGATTTCCAAGGAGGTCCTGCCTCATGAGGCAGCTCCTTCCACTTATAGGCAGCTCTCAGGCTTGGGCAGGGCACCATGACATCAAGTGGAAATTTACTTCTTTTTCAACTTCTACCTGCCCAGCTCTGCCCTTAAGGCAAATGACCCCAATTAAATTCTTCTTCCAGGTGACCATCCACCAGATAGTTATAGACAACTATCATATCTGTCCCTGCCCTAAATTTTTCCTTTGACCAGCAAAGCAAGTTCCTACAACCCATCCCTATATGGCAACACCATGGTCCCCTTCTCAGCGTCTCTATTTTCTGCCTCGGATGTGATACCCAGAACTGAACCAAAGATTCCAGATATACAGTTATCCCTTCCACATGGAGGAATGTTAGGGCTGCAGCACTCCCACAATCTGCAAAGTCCATGTAAAACTTTTTGGCCCCCTTCCCTTCATAACAGAGAGTAAAACTGAATTGTTATGGTATTAAAGGATAACACATATTGGTATTATATAACACTATACATATGTTTTATGTATTTCTGAGTTACTAAACTCTTTTCTGTGTCATCTGTTGGCCTTTGCCTCTCATCTGTGGCTTCCACAAAACTCCCAAAAAATTCCCACTTAATTTCTTATGCCTACCCGCAATATATCAGAACCATGATGAGGACAGTCATGATGTGAAGTGATAACTGTAGCCTCCCCAGGGGCAGAGCGCCTCCTTATCCTTGGAAGCCATGCCTCTCAATGTACTCAACATCACATTGCTCTTTAGGTTGTCATATTACCCTCTTGTCTCCTTATGGGCCTCTGGGTCAACAAAATCCCTGGAGCTTTTTCAAATTAATTGCCACATAACCATGCCTGCCTCATCTTGAGACTGTAAAGTCAACTAAAAAAATTCCAAGTGTAAGACTTTGTCCCCATTAAATTTGATTCCGGTGGCTGTGGTCAGTCCAGTATTCCTGCCTGTCCAGTCCTTTTTTGGATCCTGACTCCATGATCCATGTTAGCTGGCCTTCCTGACTTGGTGTCATGTGTGAATTTTCCTTTTCTAAAATCAGAAAAGTTACCCAGAACAGGCTTCCCTGGAAGAATCAGAAGTGATTCAACCTTTGGTTATTTTTTCTATGAATGACTCATTTCATGTGCAAATCTGTTCAGAAGTATAGGAGAGAAGCCCATGCCAGCTTAGTTCCATTTTGGTTAAAATATCCTCTACAAGTCTCTTTATTTTGTTTCTGGTTTGTTTTTTTTTTAATATTTGGAGTCAATCAAGGTTAAGTTACTTACCCAGGGTAACACATCTAATAATGTCTAGGTCCTCCTGACTGTTGGTCCTGTGTATATCCTATATGTCACCTAGCTGCCTCATGTCTCTTTATTTTAAAAGAACAGTTAATGATAGCACTTTAAATGAACAGTGAATAATAGCACTTTAAATGAACAGTGAATAATAGCACTTTAAAGTTTACACAAACTGCTTTCATAGTATCCACTGTCATGTTCATCACACTAAGATGTTTATCCCCATTTTGTAAAGTAGAGAATTGAGGCTTCCAGAATGGACATGATTTAACCCCAGGCACACAGCTGGGACTAGAACCTGGGCCAGGTCTCATTCCTATGGACTTCAGGTCATCATATCTAAAGGCCATTGGGTCGATATTGATTTTAAATATGACATGATATTAACAACTGTTTGTCAGCTGCCTCCTTAAGCATATGCATGTAAAGTTGGTCTATTTACACTAGTCAGAAAAATAGAATTTACCTGCATCATTTCTAGCATAATGTATTATATTAAGCATCAGTCATCGTCTAAGACCTCTAGTCATTATGAAGAAACCATGACCACTGTTTATTATGTGCTGGGCACTACCCACCATTTTGCTGGTCAATTGGAAAATATCTTGAGTTCAGTGTGTACTGGGTATTATTGAGTAATTCCTAAACAAATCTATGGCACTACTTCCTTCTTAAAGAGTAAAATGTCTTTCTTGGGTTAGATTTATTTTAAAAATGCATAAATTTGTAAAGTTCTAAAGACCATTCACAGTGTGCCATTTTTCTCTACACAGGGATCAAACATTCTTGGATATAATGGAAAAATGAATAAAGAAAAAATCCAATCAATAATGAAAAGTCCACTTTTGGTGAGATACCAGTTAATTAAGCTTTTTTTTATATAAGCACCTACTACATGGCAGGTACTGGGCTACTTACAGGGACAAAGTCAAATAATCCCTGCCCTTGAGGAACTGACATTCTATGAGGGAGATAACCTGCACATACAAAGATAGATGGAAAATCTACACAAAGCAAATCTTGGGGGAGGGGTAAGGCACTAGCAGCTGGAGAAGGGAGGAACCAAGAAATATGCTCTATAGGAGGTGCTATTTGAGCTGAGGTTTGCCAATGCAAACGCATGGAGATAAGAAATGGAATGTGAAGTGTGAGAAACCAGAAGGTTGGTATAACTGGACCATAGAGTGTGAGGAGGGTAATCATGTATAAGACTGGACAGGGCCATGTTGTTAAAAGCTCTACATACCAAACAGAAGAGTTTATATTTAATCCTAGGGGTAATGGGCTTCCACTAGAATTTATGTAGTTAGGGGAGAGGAGTAAAATGGTCAGATCTGTGCTTGGAAAATCCCTTTGGAAGATGAGTGGAGGATTGATTGAAGAGGGGAGAGATATGAGGCAAAGAGACCAATCAGGAAGCCATTGAAATAGTCTAGAAGAATATGAGAAGAAAAAGAAGTTAAAGGAATTAGAATAGGCAAAGGAGAAACAAAACTATTATTCTTTGCAGATGATATGATGGTGTACTTAGAGAATCAAATAAAAAGTTATGTGAAATAAACAAATTTAGCCAAGTTGCAGGATATAAAATAAACCCATATAAATCATGGGCATTTCTATATATTACTAACAAAGCCTAACAGTAACAGATAGAAAGAGAAATTCCATTTAAAGTTACTGTAGATATTATAAAATATTTGGGAGTCTACTTGCCAAAACAAACTTGGGAACTCTATGAACATAATTACAAAACACTTTTCACACAAATCAAGTCAGATCTAAATAATTAGAAACATATCAGTTGCTCATGAGTGGGCCAAGCTAATAGAATAAAAATGACAATTCTACCTAAATTGAATTTACTCATTCAGTGTTATACCAATCAAACTACCAAATTGGAATAACAATAACAAAATTCATCTGGAAGAACAAAAGGTCCAGAAAATAAAGGGAATTAAAAGAAATGAAAGGGAAGGTGGCCTAGCTGTACCAGATCTTAAATTGTATTATAAAGCAGCAATCATCAAAGCTGCTTTGTACTGGCTAAGAAACAGAGTGGTGGATCAGTGGAATAGGTTAGGTAATCAAGACACAACAGTCAATGACTATTGTAATCTACTATTTCATAATTGCAAAGACTCCAGCTTCTGGAATAAGACTAACAAAAACTGCTGGGAAAACTGGGAAATGTTATGGCAGAAACTAAGCACAGACCAAAATTTACACTTTCTACCAAGATGAAGTCAAAATGGGTACATGATTTAGATATAAAGACTGATACTAGGAGCAAACTGGGAGAGCAAGGAATAGTTTACCTGTCAAATCTATGGAGAAGGGAGAATTTATGATCAAACAAGAGACAAAAAACATTATGAAATGCAAAATAGATGACTTTTATTGCATTAAATTGAAAAGTTTTTGCACAAACAAAGCCAATGCAACCAAGATTAGAAGGGAAGCAGAAAGCTGGGAAACAATTTTTACAGCCAGTGTCTCTGATAAGGGCCTCATTTCTAAAATATATAGAGTACTGAATCAAATTTATAAGAATACAAATCATTCTTCAGTTGATAAATGGTCAAAGGATATGAACAGGCACTTTTCAGAAGAAGTTAAAGCTATCTATAGTCACATAAAAAAATGCTCTAAATCACTATTGATTAGAGAAATACAAATTAAAACAACTCCGAGGCACCACATCACACCTATCAGATTGGTTAACATGACAAAACAAGAAAATGATAAATGTTGGAGAAGATATGGGGAAATTGGAACACTAATGCATTGTGTGTGGAGTTGTGAAATGATCCTACCATTTTGGAGAACAATTTGGAACCATGCCCAAAAGGCTATAAAATTGTGCATACTCTTTGACCCAACAATACCACTTGTAGATCTGTATGCCAAAGAGATCATACAAATGGGGAAAGGATCCACACATGCAAAAATATTTGTAGCAGCTCTTTTGGTGGTGACAAAGAATTGGACATTCTTTGGAATTTGGAGATTGGAAATGGATAGCCATTAATTGAAGAATGGCTGAACATGTTGTGATATATAAATATGACGGAATACTGTTGTTCCATAAGAAATGATGAGCAGGTGGACTTCAGAAAAACATGGAAAGACTTATATGAACTGATGCTGGGTGAAGTGAGCAGAACCAGGATAACATTGTACACGGTAACAGCCACATTGTGTGATGACTGACTTTGATAGACTTGGCTGTTCTCAGCAATGCCCTTGCATCTAAGACAACTCCAAAAGACTGACAATGGAAAATGCCATCCACATCCTGAGAAAGAACTGTGGAGTCTGAATGCAGATCAAAGCATACTATTTGTTTCCTTTACTCTTATTGTTTTCTTTTGTTTCTTCTATCTTGTGATTCCTCCCATTAGCTCTAATTCTTCTTTACATCATGACTAATGTGAATATATGTGTAATATGAATGTATAAGTAGACCCTATATCAGAATGTACACTGTCTTGGGGATGGGAGAGGAGAGGGATGGGAAGAAAATTTAAAACTCAAAATATTATGAAAGTGAGTGTTGAAAACTAAAAATAAATGAATTAATAATGCAAAAAGAAGAGAAGAAATCTAGAAGAGAGCCAATGAAGGTCCTTCCACCTTCTGACTTTCTTCTTTCATAGTCACAAAGTCGAAGGGAACTTTGGAGACCCCATGTAGCTCTATCCTTTCACTGAGCCCCATATCCCTTCTACACCATGTCCAACAAGTAGTTTTCTAGTATCTTCTTGAGGAATTTAACCTTGAAAGAATAGGCCCTGTTGGGGAGGTGGTAAAGGGATCTAATGAGACCTGGGACCTATGAAGAGCAGGCAAACTTGGGTGGGCTTATTGCTTGGGGTTGTTTAGTTGATGAGTTACATCCGACTCTTTGTGACCCTATTTGGGGTTTTCTTGGCAAAGATACTGGAGTAGTTTGCCGTTTCCTTCTCCAGCTCATTTTATAAATGAGGAACTGAGGCAAACAAGGTTAAGTGACTTGCCCAGGGCCACATAGCTAATACATGTCAAAGGTCACATTTGAATGCAAGTCTTTCTGACTCTAGGTCCAGCTCTTTATCCACTGTGTCACCTAGCTCCCTTACTTATTCCTTACAATCCACCAACAAACATCCCCAAACAATCCACTGCCAGCTATCTTCATTCTTCTGTTTCTCTGTCTTTTCCTGGGTCTCCTATAGGGTCTTCCTCCTGAAATTGCACATTTGGTGATGGAAGAGTATTTAAGAAATACTGAGGACCCAGGAGAATTTCGAGCTAAATTCCAGGATATGCTGGGGGATTTGATATTTGTTATTCCTGCCCTCAAAGTGGCCAAATATCAACACAGTGAGTACAGCATTGACCCTTTTCAGAATCAGTGCAAGAATGGCTTATCTCTGGGGCAATGCATCTGTATCACCCACATACTCATGCATAAGCTCCTGCTTCTGGCTTTGCTATTATAACCTCCAGAGTAGTTAAACCCCCTTGTTCACCTTCCTTCTTCTTCCCTCCTACCCCCAACAAACTCCAGCCAGGGTGAATTCAATGAGTATTCTCTACAACAACAAAGAATAACAATAAATAATAATAAGCCACATTTCTGTAAGCAGATGCCCTTAACTTTTTTGTGGCTATGCATCATGGACCACTTTGGCAGTCCAAGAAAAGTTATAGACCCCTTCCAGAGTAATGTTTTTAAATGTATAAAATAAAATACATAGATTAGGAAACCAATTAAATTGAAATAGAGTTATCAAAGTGCTCGACTAAGAATAAATTCAAGAGCCGCTGCTAGAGGGTTTTATTGTTATCAAATATTTTACATTCATTATCCCCCAGATCCTCATAACAACCTAATCCCAGTGGATAGGACACAGATCCAAAGTCAGGAGGACATGAATTCAAATCCAACCCAAGACACCTTTTAGCTGTGTGATTCTGAGCAACTCATTTAACCTCTATTTCTCTCAGTTTCCTCAACTGTAAAATGGGAATAGTAACAGCACCTCTGTCCCAGGGCTGTTGAGAGGCTCCAACAAGATAATATTTGTAAAGCACTTAGTACAGTATCTGGCACAAAGTAAGTGCTATGTAAATGCTTATTCACAGGACAGCTAGGTGGCACAGTGGATAGAGAGCTGGCCTGGAGTCAGGCTTCCTGAGTTCAAATCTGACCTTAAACACTTACTAGCTGTGTGACTTTAGGTAAGTCACTTCACCCTCTTTGCCTCAGTTTCCTCATCTGTAAAATGAGGTACAGAAGGAAATGGCAAACCACTCTAGCATCTTTGCCAAGAAAACCCCAAATGAGATCACACAGAGTCGAATATGATTGAAAAACAACTGAACAACAAATGCTTATTCTCTTCCCCTCACCTTCCTGTACGGCAGACAGCCTAGAAATTATTATCTCCACCTTAACAGTTGAAAAATCAGCCTCAGAGAAGTGAAAGGATTACTCTAATGCCCTGTTGTCAATCAACAGCAGAGCCCAGATTCCAACCCAGGTCCTGTTACACCAAACCCCAGCACATGTCCTGCCTCACAGCATCAATCTCAGACAGTGTTTGGGTTTTTTTATTTATTTTCAGTTTTCAATATTCGTTTCTATAAGATTTTAAGTTCTAAATTTTCTCACACTTCCTCCGCCCCCCGCAAGATGGTGAGCCATCTGATATAGGCTATACATGTACAATCATATTAAACATATTTCCACATTAGTCATGTTGTGAAGAAGAATTAGAGCAGAAGGGAAAAATCACAAGAAAGACAAAACAAAAAAAAAGCAGAGAGAGAGAGAGAGAGCAAATAGTATGCTTCGATCTACATTCAGACTGTATGGCTCTTTCTCTGGATGTGGATAGCATTTTCCATCATGAATCAGACAGCATTTGTTAAGGGCTGCCCTCTAGGAGTTTGCCTGTTAATGGCAAGCTACTATTGCCCCACACACACACTCTAAAGGAGAGAATCAGTCCAGGGACCCCTGGCATGTGGCCCTGCCCTGTGTTCAATATGTCAGTAACTGTGGACATTTCTTACGTTTGCCTAGGTCCCAGCTCTCCAGTCTACATTTATGAATTTCAGCACCGACCAAGCGTACTTAAGGATGCCAAGCCGGATTTTGTGAAGGCAGACCATGGTGATGAGCTGCGTTTTGTCTTTGGACTACCTCGTAAGCAGTGGAGACAGGTTGGAGAGGGGAGCTGTGGGTCAGGGTATGGGGGCCAGAGAGAACAGAATCCCTGGGGCTCTGGCCTCCCTTCTCCATCACCTACCTTACTCTCTCTGACATCAAAATGAATAATAATTCCTTACCTTTTCACAAAGCACCTTGCCATACATCAGCTCATTTCATAATGATAATAACAATAGCTAAAATTAGCTAGCATTTATATACTGCTTGAAGGCTTACAAAGAGCTTTGTATATACCACTCTCATTTGATAGTCTCAAAAAAGCCATGTAAAATAGGTGCTGGTGCTATCCCCATTTTATAAATGAAGAAACTGAGGCTGAGAAAGGTGACTCTTGGCTAGCCAGGAATCACAGAGCTAGTTAAGAGCCTGAGTCAGGATCTGAACTCTTGCTTTCTTGGTTTCCTGTTCACCACTCAATCCACCTATCATCGAGCTGCTATTTGATCTTCCCAAATATCCTGTGAGGGTCAGGGTGGGGTGGAAGGGAGAGATTGTGTCTGTTGTACAGAAGAGGAAACTGAAGTTCAGAGTGAGGAATACCCTTACCTAATATCACAGAGTTAGCAGATCTGAGCCCAAACCCAGTGTTCTTTCTGCTCTTCCAGGGTCTCTTAGGAGGCACTGAACAGGAGCCCAGCTGCCCCAGAAAAGGTTTTGTTTTTATTATTTTTTTATTTGTATCTCCAGCCCTTGGCACAGTGCCAGGGATAGAAGAGGCAGTTAATAGTTACCTGGTTGTCTGAGTGAATGGAGACCAAGGTATCAGCCTTGTAAGTTCCCAACTCAGTCTCCTTGTTCAGGTGAACTGAATCAGGAGAATGAATCAGCTATTCAGTTCAATTCAGTTTCTATGATTAAGCACATCCAGCATGCAGAGCCTCTGTTCATCTCTGAGGAAGACACAAAGATAAATAAGACACAGTCTCTGACTTCTTGGAGTTTACTACCCAGAAGGGAAGATGACGCACGAATGCAAAAAACACATTTCCATATGTCAATGGACCAGTGACCTCACCAATATGCTCATCCTCTCCTCTGGGTAGACACTGTTACACCATGTCATCCTCTGTGATTCTTGTCCTTGTGCTTCCATAAATCCTGCACTGAGGATCTGCCCAACATACTAGAAGCCTTCCCTCCCTCCTTTCCTCCCTTCTTTCCTCCCTTCTTTTCTCTATCCCTCCCTCACTCCCTTCTTCCCTTCTTTGCTCCATCCCTCCCTCTCTCTCTTATTTCTTTCCTTCCTTCCCTTCCTTTCCTCTCTCCCTTCCTTCCTTCCTTCCTTCCTTCTTTCCTCCCTTCCTCCTTTTCTCCAGTTATTCTTGATTCACTTTCTCTACCAGTGCATCCATTTGGGGATTGTTAGACAAAAGTCTCACTTTTAACAATCTTTGGCGTTAATGGTGGTAGATGGTCCCAAATCTATGTTTTTGGAAGTCTTCTCTCCCTATTTTCACTTTCTTGCTCCTGTTCTGGCAGAACTGGAAAACCAGTTTATCCATTTATCTGTTTCATGACTTGCCGTGGCCAATGAATTCATTATCTTTTGACCTAGCTGCAGCTGCTGAGCCTGTCTGCACTGCCCCAGGCAGAGGTCCTTAATAGAAGGCATTATGTGGGGAAGGGGCCATATGCAAAGACTTTGCTGTTACTGGAGTTTGTGCTATGCTGTTGTAGCTTAGAATAATAACAATTATTACTATAAATGACACTTATATTAATCATGCCATCATTATAATTACATATGATAAAATATGTTATTGTATAATAATAATATAACATGTAATTTATATATAATACTTTATTACATTATACATTATTAAAGTAAGTATATCATGATATAAATATAGTATAATAATGATAGGTAGCATTTATGGAACACTTTTACAAGTTTTTAAAGCACTCCATAAATATTATTTCTCTTTTTTTCTTTACTCTCCCAAAAACCTTGGGGCACAGGTGTTATTATTATCCCCATGTTTCAAACAAAGAAACAAAGGCAGACAGAGATTAAGTGACTTGCCCAGGGTCACTCTTCTAGTCAACATCTAAGCCTGGATTAGAACTCAAGTCTTCCTGATTTCCAGTCCAGCTGAACCTCGTTGTTTTTTGGGCAGAGACTCAGTTATGGAGTCAGACAGTCGAGGCCAACAGAAGCCCTGGGACGTCTTCTAGAAGGGGAGTGACATGATGGAAACTGCTGGAGGAAGATCAGTTCAATGGCCAGAGCAGGACTGACTGGGTGGCTGGGGCTGGGGGCTGGAGGAAAGGAGGCCTTTGGGTCTGCATTTTGGCCTTAACCAAGACGTTTCTTTTTCTGGTCCTAGATTTAGGTGAGGCAACAGAAGAGGAAAAGCTCCTGAGCCACAGGATCATGAGCTACTGGGCAAACTTTGCCCGATACGGGTGAGAAAGCTGTCTCTTGGTTTCCTAATGGTTTGCCTGAAGAGTAGTGCCTGTTCCTAGGCACGTGAAAGTTTCTCACTTAAACAGAAGTTCCCTGATTGAAATTTGTTGAGAAAAAAAAAAGTTCATTCAACCCAGAGGTAAAGTGTGGTGAATAGCCCTTCCCCAAATTCATGGCCAGGGTTGGGGGATGGCATTCCTTTGGCAGACTCACCCTACACATGGGCGTCTTGAAACAAACACAAGAAAGATCAGCACCTCTTCTGGCCCAGACCACCACCCTTGAGTCTCAGTGACTTCTCTTCCCCTTTGGGAACCATTAGAACAGGTGGCAGTGGCAAGAGTCTTGGACGTGGAGTCCAATGTTTTGTTTGATTCTTGGTGACCCTATCTGGAATTTTCTTGGCAGAGATACTGGAGTGGTATTCAATAGCAAACTACTCCAGTTGGCCATTTCCTTCTCCTTTCCTTATCCTTCTGCAGATGAGGAAACAGAGGCAAACAGGGTTAAATGATTTGACCAGAGTCACACAGCTAGTAAGTATCTGAGGCTAGATTTGAATTCAGATCTTCCTGACTCCAGGCCTAGGTTTATCCACTGTACCAACTAGATGCTCCAATGAAATGGAGTCCAATGATATGAGTTCAAATCCTGACTTTGCTACTCATTCGCTATGTGAGTCCTTTCAGTCTTTGGACCTTCTACCTCAGGTGCATTAGAAAGGACCAACATGAAAGGTGAAGACCAACTGCTTAAGGTTGGGTGTACACGGTCTCCATAGGTGCTACCACTGTCATCTGACCCTGACCTTGGGGCGCCTTCTTTTGCTCCCAGGCTGAGCTGATGGTGGCTTCCTATACTTGCCATTGGAGTGGCCCATTTCAGTTCTAAATGTTTGGTTTTTCCTCCCAGGAACCCAAATGGTGCAGACCTTTTTCACTGGCCAGTCTATGACCAGAAGGAAGAGTACCTGCAGCTGAATTTGCATCTGTCTTTGGGAAAGAGCCTGAGGAAGGATAAGTGGGAGTTCTGGACCAAGACCCTGCCTCAGAAGATGAAGGAATCATGGCCAGAAAAAGCCCGAGTGGAGTTGTGATCTCTAAGCCGTTGTGATCACAACCTTTTTTGCAATTGTTGCAGACCAATGACACCCAATCACTTCTTTTGAGTAATTCCTTGGCCTCAGCGAAAGCATATTGCAGTTTTGAGTGAAATACTTTGACTCTTACTCATTACTGCTATGGGAAAGGAATTTAAATGATAGTTAGAAGGAAAAAAATCATTTATAGAATGCCTACTCCATGCTGGCACTGTGCAATGGAAACACTTTTAGCAATATCATCTGATTTAAAAAGGACCTTCCAATTCTGAGACAGTGGGAATCTGATGAGACCAGCCAGTCCATCCTTTCTCTAGAGGAAAAAATCCCTAGTTAATTTCATCAAATTATAGTTGAGATGGTTTCATTTTCTGTCATTCTGTCTCTAGGGCACTTGGTAGAGAAAGAATTAATGCTTGATGATTGAATGATTGACTTAGAGGTGAAGGGTTATTAAAAATCATTTAAAAGAATGAACACTGAGGCACAGAGAAGGGAAAGGACTTGTCCAACGTAATGAAGACACTAAGCAGCCAGGTCCTCTAACTCCAAATCTAAAGCTCTTCTTGATACACTGAGCTGCTGCGAGGAACTAGGGAAAATATTGGATGTCGCTGTCCTGCTTTATCAATTAACTAACATTTTCTCAACAACATTTCTGTGAGGAGAAAACATGGTACACTAAGAGTCCTGAAAACAAAACTTCATGATAACCCCGCAAGTCAAGTGATTCCTTATTTGCAAAGGAGTTTCTTTTATACAGAAAAAAAAATGGTGAAATCAAAGGAAATGCTTCCTCTTCTCTGTTTGATTATGCTAACAAGATATGTCACAATAACAAAATATTTTACTAACAACATACATGCAGAGATGTGCTAGTCAATGTTTGACAATCAGCTCTCTGAAAAACACACAAGACATACTTTGAAGTTATATTATTCACATTATTTACATCACCTTATTAAGTTTAGAAATCAACGAAACAATGACCCAAACCCAATTTGTAATGGATGCCAATTCTGAGGTGAAAATGCTCATGCTGAAAATTTAACAACCAGCTCTGGTACAAGTCCATAGGATACAGGGATATATGGCAATAAAACATCATCTTCATTAAGAAAAATCAAATACCCGTTAAAATCTTTTTGTCACTAAGAAGCTTCTGATTAAGAAAATGAGGCATAGTTGATATAGGGTTCAGACAATGAAGGCAGGATACAGATGATAAAGAGCGTGAGGACAGGTAGATGGCAGAGTCACCTCACATCTGGACTTTAAATAGCCAGCAGTCTAGTTTCTCTTGTCTCAGTTTTCTTCCCACTCTAGCCCATTTTCCATTCAGATCTGACCATGTCACCCCTTACGTGATAAACTCTAGTGGTACCCTTTACTTCTAGGATCAAATATTAAACCCTTTGTGTGGCTTTTAAAGACCTTCAGAATTTGAACCCTCCCCACCTTTTCCTGCACTTTGCTCTCTCTTTGGTCTGGTGACACTGGCCTCGTTGGTATTCCCGGATGAAAACATTCCATCTCTGGGTTCTGGGCACTCTCTCTGGCTGCCCTTGTGCGTGGAACCCTGTCCCTCCTCATCTGCCCCTCCCCGGCTTCCTTCAAGGCTCAGCTGAAATCTCACCTTGTGCCAGAAGCCTTTGCTAAGTGCCCCTTAATGCTGGTGCCTTCTTACTGTTGATCATCCCCATGTTTGCCTTGTGTATATGGTGTTTATCCTTAGGCGTTTGTAGCTTGTCTCCCTTCATTAGATTGTGAGCTCCCTGAGGACAGTTTTTTACCTCTCTGCATCCCCAGGGCTTGAGTGCCTGGTACCTGATGTGCCCTTTGGAAATACTTGACTTGTCACCCACCAGCTGTGTCATGTTGGAATATCTTTTTCCTTATGAACTCAGTGGGAATAATAAAAATGACACCACCAATCTCCCAGAGTTATTGTGAGCACCAGAGAATATCCAAACTGGACAAAAGCTTAAAGAATATCTGATCCAGGGGCAATCAGCTGGCATGGTGGATAGGCGCTTTCCCTGGAGTGAGGAGGACCTGAGTTCAAATCCAGCATCAGATCCTTTCTAGTTGTATGACCCTGGGCAAGTCACTTAACAGGGTTGCTTAAAAAAAAGAATGTCTGTTCCAACCCACTCATTGTATCACAGAGGACTCAAGGGCTTCACCCCAAGTCACCCAGCTAGGACGAGGCGATGAGGGGGCGCCACCTCAGGTCTTTAGGCTCCAAATCCTTCACTTGTTGAATATGTCATCTGAATCAAGCTTCACTCTCTTCGGACTTAAGCAGCAGCATCACTACAAGACTCTTGTAGTTTGCTGGGAAAGTAGAAAGAATAACAGTGTTTATCTGTGAAGAGTGCTCTGTGTTTTGTATCCTGTTTGGATGGATTTTTATTAACTATAGTTAATTATAATAATAATAGCTAAAATTTGTATTGTGCCTACTATGTGCCTACCATGATACTATGTGTTTTACAACTATTATCTCATTTGATCATCACACTAACCCTGGGAGGGAGCTGCTATTATTGACCCCATTTTAGAAATGAAAAAACAGGTAGACAGAGGTTGTGACATGCCCAAAGTCATACAGTTAGCTGGCTATGTTGTTCAAATGCCAAATGTAGGTTTGCCTAGAAGACTGTTTTACAGAGAATTCATGCAAGGCATGTGCTCACATGGAGGTTAGAAAAAGTGATACAAGGGCACTCTCAAGGTCTCTCTGAAGAACTCTGGAATTGATTTCACGATGTGAGTCACTGGCAAAGGACCCCCCAGCATGGTGCGCCCACATCAAAGAAGATACTGTGCTGTGAGTGAAGAATTACACTAGCACACAAGAAACGTTAAATGCACAGATTGAGAGACATCTCTGCCCCAAATGTCCATATGGACTATTTGTGTCTGACCTGTGCTTTAGCCTTCTGAGCTCATTTTGGTCTTCTCAGCCACAGACACACTCTGTAGCTTGACTCCAACATAGTGATGTCATTTTCATCCTCTTTGGAGAACAAAGGACAACAGCTGACCAACCAAGTGTCTGAATCAGGATTTGAACTCAGGTCTTCCTGATTCCAAGTGTTCCATTCCAGTGTTCCATTCATCCACTGCACCACAGAACTTGAAGGCTCTTGGAAGGTTGCTTTTTCTGTTTCTATCTAGATGTAGTTCTAGGTGCATTACAGCTTGGAGGAAGCTGGTTGAGCTGGATTCATTTAAGAGATTGCAGCTCCAGTTCCTGGAACAGCTATTAAAATTTCTCTGGGGACAATTCTTGGCATGATGTCAATGGAAAGCAAACAATCCAGGGAAGGTTCTGAGAGGCACGTCATTTGTTTGCTGAAGAGCTTATGTTGGCAGGGCAGCTGGGTGGTGCAGTGGATAGAGCACTGCTCTGAAGTCAGTAGGACCTGAGTTCAAATGGGCCTCAGACCAAACACTTGATACTTACTAGCTATGTGACCCTGGGCAAGTCACTTAACCTCAATTGCCTTTAAAAAAAAAAAACAAAGAAGACAATAACACCTGAAAGGTGATGCCATGACTTATAAGCAAATCGTATTTAAGTGAGGAAGGGAAGAGTAAGTCACCAGCCTCACTTTCTCCTCCAGAGCCATCTGGGTCTAGTATCATGATATAGATCAGGATAA